CTAGCGAACAGTTTTTTAAATAATATGAGAAAAAAAGATTCAATTTTATTTGGAGCCAGACAAAATTAAATGGGCCTATTTACACTGCTCAAAAAAATAAAGGGAACACTTAAACAACACAATGTAACTCCAAGTCAATCACACTTCTGTGAAATCAAACTATCCACTTAGGAAGCAACACTGATTGACAATACATTTCACATGCTGTTGTGCAAATGGAATAGACAACAGGTGGAAAATTATAGGCAATTAGCAAGACACCCCCAATAAAGGACTGGTTTTGCAGGTGGTGACCACAGACCACTTCTCAGTTCCTATGCTTCCTGGCTGATGTTTTGGTCACTTTTGAATGCTGGCGGTGCTTTCACTCTAGTGGTAGCATGAGACGGAGTCTACAACCCACACAAGTGGCTCAGGTAGTGCAGCTCATCCAGGATGGCACATCAATGCGAGCTGTGGCAAGAAGGTTTGCTGTGTCTGTCAGCGTAGTGTCCAGAGCATGGAGGCGCTACCAGGAGACAGGCCAGTACATCAGGAGACGTGGAGGAGGCCGTAGGAGGGCAACAACCCAGCAGCAGGACTGCTACCTCCGCCTTTGTGCAAGGAGGAGCAGGAGGAGCACTGCCAGAGCCCTGCAAAATGACCTCCAGCAGGCCACAAATGTGCATGTGTCTGCTCAAATGGTCAGAAACAGACTCCATGAGGGTGGTATGAGGACCCGACGTCCACAGGTGGGGGTTGTGCTTACAGCCCAACACCGTGCAGGACGTTTGGCATTTGCCAGAGAACACCAAGATTGGCAAATTCGCCACTGGCGCCCTGTGCTCTTCACAGATGAAAGCAGGTTCACACTGAGCATGTGACAGACGTGACAGAGTCTGTAGACGCAGTGGAGAACGTTCTGCTGACTGCAACATCCTCCAGCATGACCGGTTTGGCGGTGGGTCAGTCATGGTGTGGGGTGCCATTTCTTTGGGGGGGCCGCACAGCCCTCCATGTGCTCGCCAGAGGTAGCCTGACTGCCATTAGGTACCGAGATGAGATCCTCAGACCTCTTGTGAGCGGTTGGCCCTGGGTTCCTCCTAATGCAAGACAATGCTAGACCTCATGTGGCTGGAGTGTGTCAGCAGTTCCTGCAAGAGGAAGGCATTGATGCTATGGACTGGCCCGCCCGTTCCCCAAACCTGAATCCAATTGAGCACATCTGGGACATCATGTCTCGCTCCATCCACCAACGCCACGTTGCACCACAGACTGTCCAGGAGTTGGCGGATGCTTTAGTCCAGGTCTGGGAGGAGATCCCTCAGGAGACCATCCGCCACCTCATCAGGAGCATGCCCAGGCGTTGTAGGGAGGTCATACAGGCACGTGGAGGCCACACACACTACTGAGCCTCATTTTGACTTGTTTTAAGGACATTACATCAAAGTTGGATCAGCCTGTAGTGTGGTTTTCCACTTTAATTTTGAGGGTGACTCCAAATCCAGACCTCCATGGGTTGATACATTTGATTTCCATTGATAATTTGTGTGTGATTTTGATGTCAGCACATTCAACTATGTAAAGAAAAAAGTATTTCATAAGATTATTTCATTCATTCAGATCTAGGATGTGTTATTTTAGTGTTCCCTTTATTTTTTTGAGCAGTGTATAATAATCCTTTTAGCCAAAAAAAATATTTTCAATTTACAATCTGTAGAAACAATGAGAATAGAAGGGTTCAGAACTTTTGTAAAACATCACAGTACAGTTGAAAAATATATGGCAAATAGAAATCCAATATGGATGGTGTTAAGAGATAGATGGGTGGTGTTGAATGGAGTTGAAGGATGGGACTAATAACAACTAACAACAACTAATAACAACAAGATAACTAATAATGTAAGCATACTGTTTCCATAATAAGTATATAGGTTATAGGTTGAGAGCTTTTGTGAAAGAGCACAGTTAGAAAGATATGGCAAACCGGATAGACATCATGAAAATGATCAGAGAGGTTGAGGGTAGAGGAAGTTCAGGAGTAAAAACAAACAAAATAAATTATTGTAAAATTGACTGTGTCCATAAAATGTATATAGTATGTATAAGCTGGAAGTAGAGGCCTAAGCGTTTTTGTTCACTAGTTTACTCCAATTAGGGGAGCGGTGGTGGGGTTGGAAAGTAATAAAGGGAAATATATTTTTTTTAAAGGAAATGTATGTGTATGTATATATGTATATTTGCGAGAAAAAAATAAACATATTAGAAGTGATGCAGACAATTACATTGATGGAAGTTACAATCTATCTGCAATATTAAAGCTGATCTACCCCCTAAAAAAATAAAAAATAAAATAGAACTGTTTGGCCATAATGACCATTGTTATGTTTGGAGGAAAAAGGGAGTTCGCTTGCAAGCCGGAGAACACCATCCCAACCCTGTAGCACGGGGGTGGCAGCATCATGCTGTGGGGGTGCTTTGCTGCAGGAGGGACTGGTGCACTTCACAAAATAGATGGCATCATGAGGAAGGAAAATTATGTGGAAATATTGAAGCAACATCTCAAGACATCAGTCAGGAAGTTAAAGCTTGGTCGCAAATGGGTCTTCCAAATGGACAATGACCCCAAGCATACTTCCAACGTTGTGGCAAAATGGCTTAAGGACAACAAAGTCAAGGTATTGGAGTGGCCATCACAAAGCCCTGACCTCAATCCTATAGAAAATGTGTGGGCAGAACTGAAAAAGTGTGTGTGAGCAATGAGGCCTACAAACCTGACTCAGTTACACCAGCTCTGTCAGGAGGAATGGGCCAAAATTCACCCAACTTATTGTGGGAAGCTTGTGGAAGGCTACCCGAAACGTTTGACCCAAGTTTAAATTGTTTAAGGCAAATACTAATTGAGTGTATGTAAACTTCTGACCCACTGGGAATGTAATGAAATAAATAAAAGCTGAAATAAATCATTTTCTCTACTATTATTCTGACATTTCACATTCTTAAAATAAAGTGGTGATCCTAACGGACCTAAAACAGGGAATTATTACAAGGATTAAATGTCAGGAATTGTGAAAAACTGAGTTTAAATGTATTTGGCTAAGGTGTATGTAAACTTTCGACTTCAACTGTATATAGCGCAATTGAAATTTAAAGGCAATGCTCCCTTGTTTGAGGAGACTGCGTTCACAGTAAACGCTGCATAGGTCAGCGCAATCGGAAATTGCCTTTAAATTCTAAGCGCTCTATAGCGCTGAACTTCAGCGATAAGGAATTAATAGAGCCCTAGACCTATCTAGTGGCAAAATAACCTACTGAAATCTACCCTGGTCCCAGATCTGTTTGTGCTCTTGCCAACTCCATTGCTGTCAATGGCATGACAATTCCATAAGGTGTTAGCAAAAGAGAAGAAACAGACTGGCACCCAGGCTAACTGAAATACTTACCTGCATTGAAATATAAGTAAAAACATAAAGACCCATTAAAACCAATTGCTTGCCAGGCTTGATGCTTTATTACAGTATTTATTACAGTATTGCGCAGTAAAGCAGAGTTTACGCAGGAGGTTGCAGTTTCAAATCCCATGTTGGCTACTGTTATATCCATTTCATACTACTGTGCCTAACCAAGCCAAGCTGTACTGCACTGGCCTGGATTCCCATTCACCATAGTTGCTGGAACTGTGCTGAAAATGAGATAAATTAAATATCCTGGGCCAGCACAGTGTGTGGTTCAGGTCAGCACAAGAGTGTGAAATGTTATTATTGTACCATGCCAAGGTTTTGTTCATTAGGGCACGTGACGGAAAATGTTTAGCAATGGAAAACTAAACATTTGCATTTCTCATTGGACAAGGCCAGGTAGTCCCTACCTGTTTCAGTCTGGTTTCTTCCGTTTGTTACCTAATGAACATGACCCAGTTTACTTAATGGTTAGTGTGTACAAGGGCTGGAATTGTCCAGCTACACAAAGCTTTATCTTATAATAATAATAATAATAATAATAATAATAATAATAATAATAATAACTCCCTGTTAAATACTCTCACGCCTTTTTTTCTTCTTTAAATAGAAAATGTCCATTCCATTCTTTACTAAGTGTTTTTTCCCCCCTCTTCTCTCTGTCATACTAAAAAATAAAAAGACTACTACGTATAAAGAAGATACACTTAGTAAAACCCACTTCTTTGAATCCACTGAATCCACTTCTAACATCCACCTCTTCTCTCACAGTCTTCGCCACTCTGAAAGGGGCTGAGAGAAAAGAGAAAATGACAGCCCCTTCATATCACTGGTCCTTTAAAGTAACGTTCCACGTTCCAGACTTTCTGTCTATCATCAGAACCTTTTTACCTTTATTTAGGTCATAGAAATATAATCTAGTCACTCTTTCTATAATATGAGGCCTTTACAGGCTTTGTCCACTGGGAGGCAGCAGTGTTCTATAAATCCCACATTTTAAAAGTTCTCACTGCCTCATTCCTCTGTTTTATCCTTCTCTCCACACAAGCTTCCAGAGCCTTGCAGACAAACAGAAAGACAGACAGGTAGACCATTCTGTCCACTCTTCCACTGCGTATATATAGCTACTGTAATAGACAGCTAGAGGTGGGTACTGCAGGTCAAAAACTGAATTGTCCATGTAGCAAAATAAATTGTCCAAGAGTCAAATTTGGGAACAGGCCATCACGGTACCCATCCTGTACCCATCACACCCACTCTCTGTCCAGCCTTACCTGTTTCCTCCTCCTCTTACCCTCCTTCGAGAAATAATGACTAAGGATGAAGATGCCCTTAGATGCTGAGCTAAGGTCAGTTTCAGTGGTTTTCCACTCTAATGGTTCAGGTTAAGATCACAGGATGGCAATCTGATCCTAAATCTGTATCTAAGGGCACTCGTGACATCCTCGGACACTTGAGATGTCCTCCTCCCAGGAGGAAGAGAGTGTGCACCAATTGCACACTCTCTTCCTCCTTTTCTTCTCCTCTGCTCCTCCTCTGCATTCCCTCCTTCTCCTTTCCTTGTCAGACACGGGAGGTGATGTAGAGAGAGCGTAGCCGGCGAGCCAGGGTGGTCTCGAGTTCCTCCAGTGGCGAGTCTCCCCTGGGAGGCCCCGTCTTGGGCCCTGAGCCCATCTCCGTCACCCAGCGGGCCCCCAGGGGCCCCAGGAGCAGGGACCGGAAGGCCTCTCTCTCCAGGAGCCCTGCCATGTGCTGCAGGAAGAAGCCCTCACAGAACGAACTCAGCACTGACGCACCGTGGGCCTGGGGTGGACAGAGAGAGACACACACACACACTTAAGGCTCAATTCGCTCCAAAACCATATTGCAGTATTTACGCAGTAGCTCTTTTCCCCATGGTACTGTTTAAAAAACTACTACCAGGTAGACTCCAGTCACAGGTATTCTTTCACTTTTCAGAATAAGAAGTGTGTAGGGTGACATTTGGGTGAAATTTGTAAACTGAGACTCTGAATACATGACGGTATCCAACAAACAACGGAGATCCAGAATACACAGAGAGAGTCTATTTCTAGGGCCTCACCTTGGCCGTCCTGTAGATGCTGACAGCATTTTCGAGATCGATGCTCTGGGAGCAGATGATCTCACAGTGTCTCTGTAGAGCCCCCAACTGAAAGACGCTGGCTGCTGAAAGCAGCTGGAGAACACCAACCATATAACAAGATACAGCAGATGATTAGATCATTATTAATACAGTTCTCAGGGCTGCGATCCAGTCAAAGCCTTTTTTGCCCAACAAATCAAGCAAATTATGTGATTTCAGTATGAATATGTGAACAAGAAAAAACAACATCATTACAGTGAGGGAGTGATTGACTGCTATGGTGAACTTGGTTATAGATTTAGTACAAGGACCTCTGAATGACATACAGTATGGCTCTATTTCAATGTCTTACAAATCTCTCCTCATCTACTCGCCTTCATCTGCACTGATTGGAAAATACTTGACAGGCTTTTAACCTGATCAGTGTTTTCAGATCAGTGCAATGAATGAGAGGAGGCGTGGAGAGGATCCATAATTGGGAAGGAGTCCGTCTTTCTATGAGCATTTCAGAAACAAAATGGCTGAATCCTCACCTCCAACAAGTCAGACACGTTGGTCTTCAGTGACTCTGTCCCTCCGCAGTACAGGTATGACATCATCATCTGGACAGAGGTCAAAGAAATGTCAGATCTACCATCATCCAATATTCCATCAACTCTTTGGTCATACTCTGGTAAATTCCAAGATGATTTTAGATCATTGGTTAAAGGTAACAAGGATAGGAAACACATAGAGAGAAACTGTTTTATTGCCTATGAGGAAACAGCTTGGAGTAAAGGGACATGGTACCTAAAATGGTTTTGGAGTCTAAAGTCCCGCCAAGCTAATTACATAAATTCTGGGATTCTCTAGTCAACATGGGGCTATGTAGACACACATAACAAATATCTATATGATACTCAACAGTGAGAACTAAGATTCAGGTTGAGAGCTCAGCATCTGATTCAGTTACCTGGAAGACGTTGTACTTGACGTCACTGATCTCAATATCTTTAGTTCCGTCTGGGCCTGATGAAGCCAGCAGAGACTTGAACCTGCGTACCACAGAGAAAAGTTCAGGTTAGACAATGGTCTTCAATACAAACTCCATGGTTGTAATTCTTTCGCAAACACATATTCAAAAACCTTTCCGTAATCCCACCAGTTATAACCAATATACTCCACTCTCTCTTCTCCCCTACCTTCCAACATAAACATTATCCGCACAAACATCACCTCTACCCCTTTCCCCACCCCTCTCACCCTTCTACTAACCCCATCTTACCTTTCCTCACCCATTCTCCCCCATTCCCTCCCCCCTTACTCGTCTCACCTGTCTGAAGCAGTGATCAGTAGGACTTTGTGGGCGTAGAAAGGTTTCCCCTCCACCAAAAACGTCACGTCTGACATCTCTGTGTTATTCAGAAAATGGGGGTCTGGAGGATCAGGAAAGAAACGTTCATTTCAGCTTACTGTTATCCACTCTCTTGCAAATAGAAAACTAAAACAATGAAAAACTAACACAGGAGTCGTTGGCCGGTTTGGCTTATGTTTGCTTGCACAATAAGATAATTCTTATACACATTTCATAACATTACATTACATTTTTGTTAATTTATTACATCTATTTGACAGGAACAATGCATCGGTCAACATTTCTGTAAATGGGCCAGAGTTAGCCAGCTAACTAGTTTTCAACTGTAGTCCCAGTTAGATAAAAACATTTAAAACAGTACACAAAGAGCTGCTTAAAAATATCTTTCTTAATACAAATTCGAAATGATTACATTTAGATTCAATGTCTGGTGGCGCTAATATCACTCCATAGTAACGTCTGTTTGCACAAACATAATTAAAAAGGAGAACTCCATTACCCAGCTGCGCTGAGAGGGTGGCCTTCATCTCCGGAATGGCCGGTGGTGGAGCCGGGCCGAAGCAGTGGCTAAAGATGGCTGCAAGCTGCTGGATGATGGCATCGTTCTGAGAGGGAGAGAGGAAACTGGTTAGACTAGATCCAATAGCCTACGCATGGAAAGAACAATGTATTACAGTACCATTATTTATTTCTTTATTTGCTTGTTCATTTCTTTCATTATTTCCTTGTTGAGTTGTTCACTCATTCGTTTGTTTGTTCACTTTGTCTTTACTATGAAATCTGACTCAAGTACATCAAGAGGCATGTGAAAGCACATTGATGCCACCAGAGCAAACAGATTTGGGACCAGGCTAGAGAGTAGAGAGTAAATGAAAAAAGCACAGTGACCAGACCCGGATTCAAATACTATTCGAAATCTTTCAATTACTTTGAGTCATTGCTCTAGTCTGCCTGGAGTAACAGATGGGCAGAGTTTGCAGTTTGGGGACTATTCTATTGGTCCGTTAAGCCAGACCAGCTCAATCAAGCACAGATAAAGTATTTGAACCCAAGTCTGAGAGTGACATAAAGTTGACAAAGTGAAGTAAGGTGGCCCTACCTTGGTGGTTCGTAGGATGGTGAACATGAGGGGTAGGCCCAGAGAGACTAGCTCCTGGCAGTAGTCTTCCTCCCTGATGGAGGTGAACTCGCGAAGGAGGGACAGAGTGACCGAGGCCCTAGACTGCTGCTGGGCCACCCGCAGAGACTCCAGCCACACGTGCAGCTTCCATGGGACACCTGGACAAGTCACATGACATATGTTGATAGAATGAGTAGAAAGGGCATTTCCATCCATCTTGTAAAAAGAACAAAAAGGCCAGCCAGCACACTATGATCCTGTCTGACTTGACCAAGATCCAATGCGAATGGGAAAACTATAAAAAAATGCATAATAGGTGCCTCTTAGTCTTTTTCGTGTACAGTATATTCATTTGCCCAGCATCTAAGGGCTCTATTCAATCCGCATCGCGGAAATTCAGCTTTACAGCGTGATTAAAATGTTTTAGCGGAGACCGCATTCACGGTAAACGCTGCTTATGTCAGCTCAATCGGAAATGACTTTAAAATGTATATAGCGGAATCTGTAACGCTTCAGTTTTATAGAGTGTTATGAGATTTCCATCCATAACGTGACTATTTGGATTGATTGATGAACTGCTGCTTAACACAGCCTATTTCATCTCACCATTTTGAGGCGTTTTACACATTTTCTATCTGTCGTCCCATTCTCTACTTACCCAGTGCCCGTAGCTCCATGGTGACATCCAGGTAGCCGTGCTCAGCGCTGTAGTAGCTAGCCTCCTGGAGGGCCTTCATCCTGGCCTTGCACAGCCGGGGGATGCCCCCATCAGACGGGTACCCAGGGGATGGAGGAAGCAGGCCGGGGAGAGAGGGGAGAGGGCAGGCGTCCTCCCCTTCCACCCCTTCAGCTAGGATCTCCTCGAGGGAGAGGACGTCCTCTTTGACCTGCTGGGGCTGGGTGAGCAGTTTGCGCAACACGTTCCTGTAGGAGAAAGAGGGGGGAGGGAAGGAAGGGAAGGAAGGAGCGCGAGAAAGGGAGAGAGGGACGGAGGGAGGGAAGATGAGCGGGACGGAGAGAGGGACAGAGGGAGGGAGAGAGGGACGGCGAGAGGGACGGCGAGAGGGACGGCGGGAGGGAGGGACGGCGAGAGGGACGGCGAGAGGGACGGAGGGAGGGAGGGACGGAGGGAGTGAGTGAGTGAGTGAGTGAGTGAGTGAGTGAGTGAGTGAGTGAGTGAGTGAGTGAGTGAGTGAGTGAGTGAGTGAGTGAGTGAGTGAGTGAGTGAGTGAGTGAGTGAGTGAGGGAAGGAGGGAGGGACGGACGGACGGACGGACGGACGGACGGACGGACGGACGGAGGGAGGGAGGGAGGGAGGGAGGGAGGGAGGGAGGGAGGGAGGGAGGGAAGATGAGCGGGAGGGCGAGGGAGAGAGAAAGAGAGTGAGTCACTAAGTGGAGGTTGTCTAAGGTTTACTTGGGCAAAAGCTATATGCACACATAACTACATTCATGGAACCCCCTACACATGGCCACATTTTCCACTCAAAGTAACATGAAATGCAGTGATATAGCTTCTCTTAAATGACATAATCTGTCACACTTATACAGGCATCCATGCGTTGAGTCTACATCCTGATACCCTAACACACACTCACAGTGAACAGGTGGAGCGCTCTACACTCTTCAACAGTTGGTTTCTGACAGATGGGCTATGAATGGAATGAAGCCCCTGATCCCACCCCTACACCCCATTACACACACACACACACACACACACACACACACACACACACCCTTCCTTTGCCTCTAACCCCCTTATCCCATATGCCAGGGGTAGTAAGTCAAGTATATGACAAATAACAGGGCTAGTATGGTTAACATAGGCTACGTCCGACTACTCTCAAGTGTTTCCTTCCTACCCTTACTTAGAGTGTCGCTTTCACTTATTCAAACAATGGCTTTTTACACTACTGAGCCAAACCAAGCCGAGCCAAACCAAGCCGTAAAGCAGTACTGAGCTTGCCTGGTTACGCATTCACCATAGTTGCTGTGAAAAGAACATATCTGAGCCAGCATAGTTTGGTTGGGTTGGCAGAATAGTGTGAAAAGGTTGTAAGTGTGTGTTCTTCAGACGGTACTCCTCGTACCTGTGTCCGTGCGCGGCGGCGTGACTGAAGCAGTTCATGTCCTCATAGAGTGATGACGTCAAAGCGTTGCCATCATGGGTCTTGGATAGAGGATCAGCCCCCCTGGTGAGGAGCAGGCTCACCATCTCATAGTTCCCTGGAGACAAGGAAATCAAAGGGTTAATACCGCAAAACAGACTTTTGCAACTCTGATCTGACAAACACAGTGACACACTTTTGAATTAGAATCAGGGATGATGAAATATCACACTTATAATATATGACTTACAGACTAGCTTGTGCACACAAACATAAACGCAAACGCACATACTTGTTGGGAGCCTACAGACTGTCAAAAGCTGTGTGTGGTTTGTGTGTGTCCCTCTCTCTGCAGCTTCTCAGATAGCTGTGTGGCTTCTTAGATATGTAACACAGGAATGTGTGGCCCAGAGGCTTCTAAACACCCACAGACACACACACCTAACGACAGACAGTGTGTTAATTCACTCCTAAACACTCATTCCCTCCCTACCTAATTCCTTCCATCCCTTATTAATTCATTCCTCACTATCCCTCCTCCTTCCCTCATATTCCTCCCTGGCACTAGTAACTGACCTCAGTAAGTCAGAGCCAGGTGAACTTCTGTTGCTGTACTGAGTTACTGTACTGAGCAGAGCCCTATTCTACGACTGAGGTTTGAGGAGTTAGCGAGGTAACTTTTGTCAACTCTGAGTTCAACTCAGGATAACTAGTGACATGAAAGTGGTTCACCTTTTAGCAAGGAAACTAATCCTTCAGAACAGGCTAACTCAGGGCTAACTCCATTTATCCTGAATGAAGTGTCTGAGCCATGAGTTGAGGACCAATGAAATCTGATTCCCTCCCTCTCGCAAAGATGGTGTCATCATCCCCTTCATTTGAATGCAGTTTGAGGAAGATGACAGATTCAATATTTTATTAATCAAATGTGGTTGTTTTTTGTGTTAAAAATAGTAATGTTAAAATACCTATCACATTACACATTTAGTAATGACAGAATGCATTTGAAACTTTGGCACAGTAAAACTTGTCTGACTTCATACAATTATTTTATCGATAGGAGTGGGAAAAGAGGTGTTTGTGCATTTATAAGCACAACAAAGATGGCATTAACGATACGTAATAAAAGTAAGACGCCCTATTTCACACCATAGCCTGCGCTGAATTTGTAAGATAACTTCTTTCATTTTGATTTCAGCACAAATAAAAATGTGGCACTGTCTCGCCCATGGATTGATGTTTCAGCATCGTCTCAATGAAGAGTTTGGCGTTCGACTAGCCACGTGTGACATGAACGCGCAGTTACAAGCCCAACTCGAGCATGCTCGAATAAGTGGCGGGTGCACGATCCATATCCATCTTTGTAACATTGATGAAGCCTAAGCTGGAATGTGAAGCTAACTGAAGCTGGCTAGCTATAAAAAAAACACTGTGTAGATTTAGCCTCCATCGTAGTATACCTCTCAGGTCTGACATACAGTACCAGCAAAAGGTTTAGACACACCTACTCATCCAAGGGTTTTTCTTTATTTTTACAAATTTTCTACATTGTAGAATAATAGTGAAGACATCAAAACTATGAAATAACACATATGGAATCATGTAGTAACCAAAAAAGTGTTAAAGAAATCAAAACATATTCTATATTTGAGGTTCTTCAAAGTTGCCGCCCTTTGCCTTGATGACAGCTTTGCATTCTTGGCATTCTCTCAACCAGCTTCATGAGGTAGTCACCTGGAATCCATTTCAATTACAGGTGTGCCTTGTTAAAAGTTAATTTGTGGAATTTCTTTCCTTCTTAATACGTTCTTGTATACAGAAGATAGCCCTATTTGGTAAAATACCAAGTCCATATTATGTCAAGAACCGCTCAAATAAGCAAAGAGAAATGACAGTCCATCCTTACTTTAAGACATGAAGGTCAATCCAGAAAATGTCAGGTACTTTGAAAGTTTCTTCAAGTGCAGTCGCAAAAACCATCAAGCACTATGATGAAACTGGCTCTCATGAAAGGAAGACCCAGAGTTACCTCTGCTGCAGACGATAAGTTAACTAGAGTTAACTGCACCTCAGAAATTGCAGCCCAAATAAATGCTTCACAGAGTTCAAGTAACAGACACATCTCAACATCAACTGTTCAGAGGAGACTGCGTAAATCAGGCCTTCATGGTCGAATTGCTGCAAAGAAACCACTACTAAAGGACACCAATAATAAGAAGAGACTTGCTTGGGCCAAGAAACACGAGCAATGGACATTAGACCTGTGGAAATCTGTCCTTTGGTCTGATGAGTCCAAATTTGAGATTTTTGGTTCCAACCGCCGTGTCTTTGTGAGACGCAGAGTAGGTGAACGGATGATCTCTGCATGTGTGGTTCCCACCGTGAAGCATGTAGGAGGAGGTGTGATGGTGTGGGGGTGCTTTGCTGGTGACACTGTCAGTGATTGATTTAGAATTTAAAGCACACTTAACCAGCATGGCTACCACAGCATTCTGCGGCGCTAAGCCATCCCATCTGGTTTGCGCTTTGTGGGACAATCATTTGTTTTTCAACAGGACAATGACCAAACACACCTCCAGGCTGTGTAAGGGCTATTTGACCAAGAAGGAGTGTGATGGAGTGCTGCATCAGATGACCTGGCCTCTACAATCACCGGACCTCAACCCAATTGAGATGGTTTGGGATGAGTGGGACCACAGAGTGAAGGAAAAGCAGCCAACAAGTGCTCAGCATATGTGGGAACTCCTTCAAGACTGTTGGAAAAGCATTCCTCATGAAGCTGGTTGAGAGAATGCCAAGAGTGTGCAAAGCTGTGGCAAAGGGTGGCTACTTTGAAGAATCTCAAATATTTTCAAATCAAATCAAATGTTATTTGCCACATGCGCCGAATCCAACATGTGTAGACCTTACAGTGAAATGCTTACTTACAAGTCCTTAACCAACAATCCAGTTTTTAAGAAAAATAAGGGATAAGTAAAAAATAGATATGTAAATAATAAAAATTATATAAAAATAAAGAGCAACAGTTAAATAATATAACAGCAGGGAGGCTACATACAGGGGATACCGGTACAGAGTCAATGTGCGGGGGCACAGGTTAGTCGAGGTAATTGAGGTTATATGTACATGTGGGTAGAGTTCAAGTGACTATGCATCGATAATAAACAGAGAGTAGCAGCAGTGTAAAAGAGGGGGTGGGGGGACAATGCAAATAGTCTGGGTAGCCATGATTAGCTGTTCAGGAGTCTTATGGCTTGGGGGTAGATGCTGTTAAGAAGCCTTTTGGACCTAGACTTGGCGCTCCGGTACAGCTTGTAGTGCGGTAGCAGAGAAAACAGTCTATGACTAGGGTGGCTGGAGTCTTTGACAATTTTTAGGGCCTTCCTCTGACACCGCCTGGTATCAATGTCAGCCATTCTATCCTGCCGATGTAGCGTATATCCCGCCAGCTGTATGTTATCCATGTCGTCGTTCAGCCACGACTCGGTGAAACATAAGATATTACAGTTTTTAATGTCCCGTTGGTAGGGTATCTGTGATCATAGGTTGTCTATTTTGTTTTCCAATGATTGTACGTTTGTTAATAGGATTGATGGAAGAGGCAGTTTACTCGCTCGCCGTCGGATCCTTACAAGGCACCCCGACCTACGTCCACGATATCTCCGTCTCTTTCTCATGCGAATGACAGGGATTTGGGCCTTGTCGGGTGTCTGTAGAATATCCTTCGCGTCCGACTCGTTGAAGAAAAAATCTCGTCCAGTACGAGGTGAGTAATCGCTGTCCTGACATTCAGAAGCTCTTTTTGGTCATAAGAGACGGTGCCAGAAACATTATTTACAGAATAAATTACAAATAACGCAAAAAAACACACATAATAATTGATTAGGGGCAGTGTATCTCCTCTGGCGCCATTATTTTGTTTATTTGTTTAACACTTTTTTGGTTACTACATGATTCCATATGTGTTATTTCATAGTTTTGATGTCTTCACTATTATTCTACAATGTAGAAAATAGTAAAAATAAAGAACAACCTTGGAATGAGTAGGTGTGTCCAAACTTTTGACTGGTACTGTATATTTCCATCACACACTTTTTAATGGGTGGTTGTGTGTAAGAGTGTATGTGTGAGTGTTGAGTTAGTTCTATATTGTGGTTTGTGTGTGTGTGTGTGTGTGTGTGTGTGTGTGTGTGTGTGTGTGTGTGTGTGTGTGTGTATGTGTATGCCATGTGGCTGTGCCCACCCGTGCCCGTGTGGTGCCCACCTGCTGCAGATGCGAGCTGGAGAGGGGTGTCTGCTGTGCTCTCCTGTCCATTTCGGATGGCTGCCCCCTCCACGTTAGCCCCTGCATCCAACAGGAGCTGCCAACACACACACACACACACACACACAGGGTAAGGGTTAGGCACAACATCTGCTACAGTATACACCCTGTCTGTTGAGGTGGAAGAAGGTGAAGCAAACCACTGCAAAGGGATGATACGTGTTTCTGTGAAAAAAAGACATAGGCCGAGATGCTACAAAATTCAGATTATAAACTGGTAGTTTGGGTGCTGATTGGCTGAAACAGCATTTCAGCCGTGTGTATGTCAGACAATATACCACGGATATGACGCAAAAATATTTGTTCATCTGCATTGGATTGAATCCTTGCCTTTGAAGTTAAATTAATTTAGGTTTTCCCCTTTCCTCATCTGGAACTACATAAGGTGTCTTTTCAGTCATTCCTACCTGTACCACAGAGATGTGTCCGTGCAGCACAGCGAAGGTAAGAGCCGCCCAGTGGCGACTGTCTGGGTGGACAGAGGGTTGCTTGGAAGAACAGGCAGGCACCTGGGCAGAAGAGACAGAGGGAGAAGAGGTTAGGTATCAATGTCATGATAGATGTTTACTGTAATTCATTGTTCACTTAGGGCTCGATTCAATATATAGCGCTGAAGATCTAAGTTGTAGCACGATTGACCTTCAGCGATACAGATTGAATCGAGCCCTTAGTCTTACAGTCCTATTCAGAGTGACTTACAATCAGTACATTCTACTGAGGTACATAAAACAACCACATATCAAATAGCCGTTATCAGCCGCTATAAAATCAGTGCTAGTAAGAAAAGTGTGAGTGCATGAACGACAAATAAAACAGTCATAAACTTAAAGCTGCAATATGTAACTTTTTGAGCGACCCTACCAAATTCACATAGAAATATGAGTTATAGATCTGTCATTGTCATTGAAAGCAAGTCTAAGAAGCGGTACATCGGTTCTATGTGCGCTATTTCTATGCTTCCAGTTCTTAAGTTTAGTTTTTGCGTCTTTTACTTCCGGTTTAGTACACCAGCTTAAAACAGCTGAAAATGCAATATTTCTGGTTATGGAAAATATATTTCACAGCGGTTTAGATGGTACAATGATTTTCTACACTATATTTATCTTCAAGCTTTAGTGCTGTGCTTAAGTGCAGTGCTGGAAAATAAATATATACTGTAGCTCTTCAGAACCAGGGTTGGAGACCAAATAGAATACATGTGTCTCTAGAGCAGGGTTTCCGGAAATTTGCCGCCATACAACGTGAATGGCATTTGAGAAATTTACTGGACATCCATATGCATTGGGTGCGTAACGCATTAGTGCGTCCACTCATGGTGCTCAAAATCACATTTCGATTATTGTAATTCATCCTAACAGAATATAAATTATCCTGTAAAGTTGTAATTAAAAAAAGTAAAACAAATGTTCTTATACCAACATGACAGGTTTTATTGAAAAACGAAACATTGGTCATTGCGTCTTCATTTATTTTACCTTTATTTAACTAGGCAAGTCAGATAAGAACAAATTCTTATTTACAATGACGGCCTACACCGGCCAAACCTGGACGACGCTGGGCCAATTGTGCGCCGCCCTGGAATCGAACCAGGGGGTCTGTAATGACGCCTCAAGCACTGAGCTGCAGTGCCTTAGACCGTTGCGCCACTCGGGAGCCCATCCTGGCAATAAATCTTAAATTAATATCTTCTTTTTTTTAATGGAGGAAAAAAACATTTACCCTAGAAGAACAAGTCGCCTACAAATAACTTCAAAATATATTTAAATTAATAAATAACAAAACACAGCTGTTTTCAAATACAATCTAGGCGTCTCTAATTTAGTTTAATGTATGTAATGCTAGGGAAAAAACTTAAATATGCAACCCCTTAGGTCCCCAGGACCAGGATAAAGAAACACTGCCCTAGGCTGCCACAAAATGAAGAAATTATAAAACTGATGTTGGACGATCAAATTCGATATGTAAATAAACTAAATTCGTTAAGGCTGGTTCATTGAGAGAAAGCTTATTTTACTATGCTCCTGTGAAACGAGGCCAACGCCATAAATTTATGAAATCACTTGTTTCTAAAGCTCAAATTATATCTCACTCTTTTTACAGTTCTGCTGGATAATGTTAACAAATGTTATGTTTATTGTAATTCGAACTATCATGGGGTCACGACTCGTGTCATGTGTGATATACGTGGTTTATTGATAACAACTATGTTCCCTACTACAGGCAGTTGGCTGCGTAGTGATTTCAACATTGTAACTCTCCGATGTGACTAGTTGGCAAAGATGTTTCATTTATAAGTGCTACTGAATAAGCACCAATTGCACACAATACACTGCCTCGTTACTTTGTCCTCAAGAAGTCGTGATCTTGAGGCCGTCTTTACTCTGTTTTGGAGAAATAATTTTCTCTCGGTGGGCACACTGGAAACGGGGATAATCAATTCAATCTTCTCCAATTTTGCCCAGTTGGGGTACACTTAGCTGAAGTCCTTTCTGAGGACCTCACGTCTTTTGCGTCAGTAAAAATAGAAATACACACAGCAACATTTTTATTTATCGTCTTATAATATTTTTTATCAGCCTAAAGCTGGCATTTACCGGCTAACGGAAACGCTGCTCTAGAGTAACCAATCAGAGCAGGGAAAAAAAGCCTTACCGCCACGTCTAGGTTGGCCCCGGCGTCAATCAACATCTGGACCAGAGCTTCGTCTCCCGCTGAGCACGCATACATCAGAGGGGTCATACCCTGCAGAGAGAGAGAGAGAGTGAGTGAGAGACAGAGGGAGAGAGAAAGAGACGATGTAATGCTTTGTTTAGAATATGATCTACCAACTACAGCACGTTAGACCTCAACTCAGCAGTTGAGTTCACACAAAATGCACACACCCACACACCTCCATTCAGCACTATAAACCCACAAACACACACACACACACGCACACAGCACCCCCCGATCCCAACTCACACACACCCTGCTCACCCCTCTCACTCTCTCTCTCTCAATACCTGGTCGTCCATGCTGTTTACCCCGTCAGGCCCCAGTAGGTCGATGGCCTGGCCAATCAGGTCGGTGCGTCCACAGTTGAGCATGCGGAAGCCCAGGTCCAAGTGAAACTTATCAGTGGCTGCCTTGGAGTCCAGACGCCTGAACGAACTAAAACAACACTCAGGCCTTGGGGAGAAACAGGGAGAAGAAGAAGAAGAAGAAGAAGAAGAAGAAGAAGAAGAAGAAGAAGAAGAAGAAGAAGAAGAAGAAGAAGAAGAAGAAGAAGAAGAAGAAGAAGAAGAAGAAGAAGAAGAAGAAGAAGAAGAAGAAGAAGAAGAAGAAGAAGAAGAAGAAGAAGAAGAAGAAGAAGAAGAAGAAGAAGAGAGACAAATTGAGGAGAAAGAGGTTAGCGTTAGGTTAGTCAGAGTTCATCAACCACATAATGTAATGGGTGGAGCAGTTTCATACTTTAACAATGTTTCTTCGAGTAGGACGATGTCTAGAGTAGACATATGGTGTAAATCTAACTAGGCTGAGACCTTTGAAAGGGGACAGAAGTTACGTTTTGATGACTGATGAAGTAATGTGTTGACGATTTAACTAGCTAATTTGACAGGAGCAAAATATAAGTGAGAGACATATATTCAAGCCTCTCCTCCATCAGCTGATCTACTGTAGGATCAGGTCCCCACTGTCCATGTAATCTTTTTCATTCTGCAGCGATACGCCATCCCATCTGGTTTGGGCTTAGTGGGACTTTCATTTGTTTTTCAACAGGACAACGACCCAACACACCTCCAGGCTATGTAAGGGGTATTTGACCAAGAAGGAGAGTGATGGAGTGCTGCATCAGATGACCTGGCCTCCACAATCACCCGACCTCAACCCAATTGAGATGGTTTGGGATGAGTTGGACTGCAGAGTGAAGGAACAGCAGCCAACAAGTGCTCAGCATATGTGGGAACTCTTTCAAGACTGTTGGAAAAGCATTCCAGCTGAAGCTGGTTGAGAGAATGCCAAGAGTGTGCAAAGCTGTCATCAAGGCAAAGGGTGGCTACGTTGAAGAATCTCAAATATAAAATATACTTTGATTTGTTTAACACTTTTTTGGTTACTACATGATTCCATATGTCTTATTTCATAGTTTTGATGTCTTCACTATTATTCTACAATGTAGAAAACAGTAAAAATAAAGAAAAACCCTTGAATGAGTAGGTGTGTCCAACCTTTTGACTGGTACTGTGTATTTATATATATATATATATATATATATATATATATATATATATATATATATATATAAAATTATATTTTTAAATAATGACTAGCTCAAGAATAAGTGAAAATTGACAAATTAAATTTTCTGGTAAAAATGTGGAGTCATACACGTAAGTTTGCACTCCCAATTTTAATTTGCTCTATGGTTCAGGTGGCCAAGTGTAGGCTACGGCGAAAATCTGTTTGGCTCAGTCGTGACTCGCGAAGAGGAAGAACTTTGCAGGTGTTTCTGATTAATAAACATGCTGGTGGGTGATAACATTCAAATAAAACCCAGCCCTTAAAATAAACGTAGACTACAAAGTATTAGCACGTCATAGAGGGGAAACACAAGGCATTGACATTTTAAAAATCCGAAGTCCCCACTTCGGATTTCCCCCTTCAAGCCCAAATACACTGAACAAATATATAAACACAACATGTAAAGTGTTGATCCCATGTTTCATGAGCTGAGATAAAATATCCCAGAAATGTTCCATATGCACAAAAGTCTTATTCCTCTCACATTTTGCGTACAAATTTGTTTACATCCCTGTTAGTGAGCATTTCTCCTATGCCAAGATAATCCATTCACCTGACAGGTGTGGCATATCAAGAAGCTGATTAAACACCATGATCATTGGACAGGTGCACCTTGTGCTGGGGACAATAAAAGGCCACTTTAAAATGTGCAGTTTTGTCACAGATGTCACAAGTTTTGAGAGAGCGTGCAATTGGCATGCTGACTGCAGGAATGTCCACCAGAGCTGTTGCCAGATAATTTAATGTTAATTTGTCTACCATAAGCCGCCTCCAACGTCATTTTAGAGAATTTGGCATTAAGTCCAACCGGCTTCTCAACTGCAGACCACACGTAACCCCGCCAGCCCAGGACCTCCACATCCAGCCTCTTCACCGTGCTGAGGAGTATTTATGTCTGTAATAAAGCCCTTTTGTGGGGAAAAACTCATTCTGATTGGCTGGGACTGGCTTCCCAGTGGGTGGGCCTGGCTGCCAAGTGGGTGGGCCTATGTCCTCCAAGGCCCACCCATGGCTGCACCCCTGCCCAGTCATGTGAAATCCAGAGATTAGGGCCTAATGAATTTATTTCAATTGACTGATTTCCTTATATGAACTGTAACTCAGTAAAATCTTTGAAATTGTTGCATGTTGCTTTTATATTTTTGTTCAGTATATATCATACTCTGACTAAAACGATGACTTATTGACTTCAACCATTGTCCAACATCATGGGTAAGCTCTGTGCATCGTCTTTCAGTTGAAAGAAAGTGAATTTCCGCTCTTGTGGTACTTTAAACCACATCAGGCGACCACTTTTGAGGTCTGGGAAAAAATCCCCCCTAAAACTTTTTTGGGAGGGTATATCTGCCCTTTAATTCAATTGTGCAGCAGCAAGAGGCCATTTGTTTGGCTAGCTGTGTTTCTGTACTGTACAATAGTGTACATATGATGGCAGAGTTTGCAAAAACGAATTACCACCCCATTGATAGGCTACAAATCATCATGATATCATTGTGCCAGTTAGGCCTACTTTGGAGTAAAAATCTTATTTGGAAGGTTTTTGGGGAATGTCTTAGAAATGACTGTTCCGGCATGCTAACTGGCTACACAACACAAACAGGCCTTACTTCTTCAGAAAGTTGCAGGAAATACAAATCACTGATTTCATGAATTATGAGAAACTAGTTCAATTTAACTACCCTACCGCTGTCGTTCGCCTGTGAGCTGCTCCACGGGACAACCAGTTGTTTTAGCTGCGCACTCTTGCTGCCCGACCGATGATATTCTGCTCAAACTATGAGTGCGGTGCGTGTGTATGTGTGCAGCACACATAGCAAGGTGTATGTTGATTGGCTACTGTGCCACAATTACCCCTTTTCTCCCTCCCTCCTCTCCTTCTTTCCATCAGACCCGGCTGTCGTTTTTGTTTCCGGAGTGCCTCTGCTAAGGATTTCAGAGATTTGTTATATGTAAAAAATGACAAATATCTTAAGCTGACAAGTGGTACGCTTTTTGCCTTTTTCTAACAAGGGGTACGGCCTACCCCCGCGCACCCACTCAATTCGAGCCCTGGATGTAGGAGTGTGTTTCAAAGAGCACTCTTTTTTGGACACGTCAGAGAGTGATCTACCTGCATCTCTACTATGTATTTCACTGTGTGTGTGTGCTCTCTCTCTTACGTCAGTTGTCTGGGTTCACAGTCCAGGCCTGGGAGGAGCTGTCTGGCGGTCTGTCTGACATCATCGCTGTCCACCAATAGGCTGCGGCGGTGCTCAGCGTGCACAATGGCCACGCGCATCCACTCCATCAGGGGCGGCAATAGCAGGAAGGGCCTATAGAAGACACAGAATGTGGTTACAGAAAAATTCACACCCCATAAAGGGGCTATGGCGAGAGAAGGTTTGCATCCAAAATTCCCAATTCCCTATTTAGTGTAGTACTTTTGACCAGGGCCCATAGTGCTCAGTGATATGGTGCAATTTGGGACGCTTGTTATTATACAGCTCCCTTATAATGCACTCCTAATCTTGTATTTTTCCCCAAATATGAGTTGCAGGAAGGAAAGAAGGGCTTGTGTCCAAAATGTGTAAAACAGGGCTTGTGTCCCAAATGGCACAAATAGGACTCTGGTCAAAGGTAGTGCACTATATAGGGAATAATGTGCCATTTGGGACACATCCTGTTTTGAAAGAGGAACTCCAACTTTCCACTCAGCAGTCTAAATATGCATTTACTAAATGTAGCAAGTGATTTAGCTACCCAGGAGAGTTCAGGGAGAGAGAGAGAGATAGTCTATTCTTTCCTTTTTGAGTTTCTCTGGCTCAGAGTATCTCTGGCTCAGATCTGAAGACCCTGAACACCACTTGTGTGTGTGTGTGTGTGTGTGTGTGTGTGTGTGTGTGTGTGTGTGTGTGTGTGTGTGTGCGTGCGCGCGTCCTTGAGCATCTTCCACCTGCTAGCCATGTAATAGAGGTGGAAGAGGGGAAGGGGGTGAGACCAGTATAGAACAAAGTTGCCATTGATCCCCGCCCCCTTTCGTCACCCGACCCTCCACTCATCCCCTCCTCCCCCTAAACCTGAGCCCTAGGGGCCTGTCAGCAACTACCAACTCCCCCTAAACCCTTTAAAATCCCACCGACCCCCTACTTCCTCATCAGCAAACCCCTCTCAACTGCCAGCCCTGGGTGACAGCATCAGAGACCTTCCCTGTCCTGTCACTCTATGTGAATGCACTGGAGCATTATCTCCTCTCCCTCTTTCTGTCTCTGTCACTAGAGGTTGATAAGACAACCGAATGACAGTAGCAATGCTAGCTAACAATGCTAATGAAGTTTAAGAGTGCTAATGATGCTAACAATGTGAATGAGAGCACCTTGGAGTTGCCTGCTGTGCCTCGCTCAGTCTCATTCACAGATGTGTAGATGCGTGAATGACACCACAGGTGTTCAGGTGTCCATTATCCACAGTCAATATACACTACGGAGACGGTGTGTGTGTTTGTGTGTGTGTGTGTTATCTCCAGGGCGTTGCTCAGCATAACATCACAGCAGGAGTGTGTGTGATTACACAATCAATAGAGATGAGGGAGACAGTGTTCAAACACTTATTACTATCCCTGTTGCTGCTTCACACAATCAGACTACAATAAAACAATACAACTCCTCCTATACTGATGTTTTATTGTCACATACACCGGATAGGGGCAGTAAAATTAGTTGTTTTACAGGGTCAGCCATAATAGCATGGCGCCCCTGGAGCTAATTAGGGTTAAGTGTCCTTGTCGGCTTTTCGAACCAGTGACCTTTTGGTTACTGGCCAAACCCTCTAACCACTAGGCTACCTGCCGCATATACTCCTTTTGTTTACTACTGGCACTGTGATCCCATCTATATTTAAATAGAACAGCAAACACATAGACAAGAATAGACTACAACAAGTAGTGATATTGTTGCTGTGTTTGTGAGTGAGGGAGGGAGGGAAGAAGGGAGTTAGGGACAGAGAAAGAGCGAGAGAGAGAGAGAGAGCAAGAGAGAGAGAGAGAGAGAGAGAAAGAGAGAGTCATTTGTTTAATATTTGGAACCAAGGACTGATCACCCCAATCCACAAAAGTCGAGACAAATTTGACCCCAATAACTACCGTGGGATATGCGTCAACAGCAACCTTGGAATAATCCTCCGCATTATCATTAACAGCAGACTTGTACATTTCCTCAGTGAAAACTATGTACTGAGCAACATCAAATTGGCTTATTACCAAATTACCATATGACAGACCACATATTCACCCTGCACACCATAACTGACAAACAAACAAACCAAAATAAAAGCAAAGTCTTCTCATGCTTTGTTGATTTCAAAAAAGCTTTTGACTCAACTTGGCATGAGGGTCTGCTATATAAATTGATGGAAAGTTGTGTTGGGGGGGAAACAAACAACATTAAAATATGTATGTACACAAATAACAAGTGTGCAGTTAAAATTGGCAAAAAACACACAGATTTATTTCTGTAGAAATGTAGTATAATATGCCATTTAGCAGACGCTTTTATCCAAAGCGACTTAGTCATGCGTGCATACATTTTTACGTATGGGTGGTCCGGGGGATCGAACCCACTACCCTAGCGTTACAAGCGCCAAGCTCTACCAATTGAGCTACAGAGAACCACAGTCATTGACAAGGTTAGAAATAATGATTTTTAATAGAAATAATAATTGTGTCCTTCAAACTTTGCTTTCGTCAAATAATCCTCCATTTGCAGCAATTACAGCCTTGCAGACCTTTGGCATTCTAGTTGTCAATTTGTTGAGGTAATCTGAAGAGATTTCACCCCATGCTTCCTGAAGCACCTCCCACAAATTGGATTGGCTTGATGGGCACTTCTTACGTACCATACGGTCAAGCTGCTCCCACAACAGCTCAATAGTGTTGATATCCGGTGACCGTGCTGGCCACTCCAATATAGACAGAATACTAGCTGGCTGCTTCTTCCCTAAATAGTTCTTGCATAGTTTGGAGCTGTGCTTTGGGTCATTGTCCTGTTGTAGGAGGAAATTGGCTCCAATCAAGCGCCGTCCACAGGGTATGGCATGGCGTTGCAAAATGGAGTGATAGCCTTCCTTCTTCAAGATCCCTTTTACCCTGTACAAATCTCCCACTTTACCACCACCAAAGCACCCCCAGACCATCACATTGCCTCCACCATGCTTGACAGATGGCATCAAGCACTCCTCCAGCATCTTTTCATTTGGTCTGCGTCTCACAAATGTTCTTCTTTGTGATCCGAACACCTCAAACTTTGATTTGTCTGTCCAAAACACTTTTTTCCAATCTTCCTCTGTCCAGTGTCTGTGTTATTTTGCCCATCTTAATCTTTTATTTTAATTGGCCAGTCTGAGATATGGCTTTTTCTTTGCAACTCTGCCTAGAAGGTCAGCATCCCAGAGTCGACTTTTCAATGTTGACGTTGAGACTGGTGTTTTGCGGGTATTATTTAATGAAGCTGCCAGTTGAGGACCTGTGAGCCATCTGTTACTCAAACTAGACACTAATGTATTTGTCATTTTGCTTGTTTTCAGTTGTGCTAACATAATTGCAAAAGGGTTTTCTAAAAAAATATAATTGCAAAAGGGGGTCAATTAGCCTTTTAAAATAGCCATTTACAACATTAATAATGTGTACACTGTTTTTCTGATCAATTGTATGTTATTTTAATGGACATAACAATTGCTTTTCTTTCGAAAACAAGGACATTTCTAAGTGACCCCAAACTTTTGAACGGTAGTGTATATATCAAGGAATTAGCGAGGGCACTAGAACCATCTGCAACACCCGGCCTCACCCTACTGGAATCTAAAGTCAAATGTATACTGTTTGCTGATGATCTGATGCTTCTGTCCCAAATCTACAACATCACCTAGATCTTCTGCACAGATTCTGTCAGACCTGGGCCCTGACAGTGAATCTCAGTAAGACAAAAATAATGGTGTTCCTAAAAAGGTCTAGTTGCCAGGACCACAAATACAAGTTCCATCTAGACACCGTTGCCCTAGAGCTAACAAAAAACTATAACTACCTCGGCCTAAACATCAGCACCACAGGTAACTTCCACAAAGCTGTGAACGATCTGAGAGACAAGGCAAGAGGGGCCTTCTATGCCATCAAAAGGAACATAACACTCAACATCCCAATTAGGATCTGGCTAGAAATACTTCAATCAGTTATATAATCCATTCCCCTTTATGGTTGTGAGGTCCACTCACCAACCAAAAATTCACAAAATGGGACAAACACCAAATTGAGACTCTGCATGCAGAATTCTGCAAAATCATCCTCAGTGTACAACGTAAAACACCAAATAATGCATGCAGAGCAGAATTAAGACGATACCCGCTAATTATCAAAATCCAAAAAAGAGACATTCAATTCTAAAACCACCTAAAAGGAAGCGATTCCCAAACCTTCCATGCCAAAGTAATCACCTACAGAGAGATACACTTAGAGAAGAGTTCCCTCAGCAAACTGGTCCTGGGGCTCTGTTCACAAATACAAACAAACCCCACAGAACCCCAGGACAGCAACACAATTAGACCCAACCAAATCATGAGAAAACAAAAAGAAAATTACTTGACACATTGAAAATAATTTACCCAGAATAAATGTGCAAATTGGAATGCTATTTGGCCCTAAAAAGATATATACCTGACCACTGTGACTGACCCAAAATTAAGGAAAGCTTTGACTATGTACAGACTCAGTGAGCATAGCCTTGCTATTGAGAGAGGCCACCGTAGGTAGATCTGGCTCTCAAGAGAAGACAGGCTATGTGCACACTGCCCACAAAATGAGGTGGAAACTGAGCCGCACTTCCTAACCAAATGTATGACCATATTAGAGACACATATTTCCCTCAGATTACACAGACCAACAAATAATTTGAAAAATCTAATTTAGATAAAGTCCGATATCTATTAGGTGAAATAGCACAGTGTGTCATCATAGCAGCAAGATGTATGACCTGTTGCCACAAGAAAAGGGCAACCATTGAACATCATTGTTTTTTATTTTCCCTTTTGTACTTGAACTATTTGGACATTGTTACAACACCGTACCTAGCCATAATATAACATTTGAAAGGTCTCTGTTCTTTAGAAACTTTTGTGAGTGTAATGTTTACTGTTCATTTATGTTTATTATCTATTTCAGTTGCCATGGCAATGTAAACATGTTTCCAATGTTTCCCATGCTAAAATACCTTTGAATTGAGCGAGAGAGAGAGAGAGAGAGAGAGAGAGAGAGAGAGAGAGAGA